TTGAAACCAAAGAGATTGAGGACAACATGAGAAGGGCAGGGAAGGAAAATGGCAACACTGAGGGGCACCAACATTTAATGAGGCAGGCGAGGAAAAGGAGGCTTCAAAGGAAATGAAGAGGGAAAAAAAAGTCAGTGAATTAGAGGAGAACCAGCAGTGAATGGAGTCTCTGAAAACAAAGGAGGATGAGTTACTATTAAATGTGCAGAAAAAAATTCTCCCTGGCTCTTTACTTCCAGCTGCAGACATGAGGCCCTTGGCACCTTCAGTCTTCTCCAACCAGAAGTGCTCCTTGGGCGCATCACACCTGTGCTGCTCTCCATGGGATCTTCAGGCATCCCTGGATAAGGCATTTCCTGCTAAGCAGAATGGATCCTTCTCCAATCATATAGCTGTGGCTCCAAAGCAGGATCAAGGTCACTGCTGCCCCTCCTTCTGCCATTCATGGTTCTTTCGGCCCTTGGCCACCCTGAGCTGTCAAAGTGCCAAAGTTTCATGAAGATTTGTGATGGAGGGAGAGAGCATGGGTCCTTCCTTAAGTCAAAGGTTGTTAGAGGTGTGTTATTCGTTCAGGGTGTGAAGCCCTGAATATTCCCCCCACCATGTACCCAGATCCAGTCTCAGCAGTGCCCTGGATATTGTACAGCAGTACAATGGGTCTATCAAGCCATTTTGTCAAGGAATTTGAACCTTACAAGTGGGCACTAGACACCATGCATGGAGTTGGCGAGCCCTTTTCTACCTAATGAGATGGCCTGTTGTGGCGAAGGGGAAGGCTGTGGTGATTAGGGGTCATTCTTCATCTCTGCATCTCTGCAGCCACTTTTATTTAAGTCAGGCTTCAGTGAGGTACAGACTCCAGTGGGAAACAAGAATTCCAAACAGAAAGAGCAGACAACTTTTTTAAGATACTAGGCTGTGAAGGAAGGGAGGAAGCTGCAGACGATCATAACGTTGATTGCCTTTTTTTTTTTTTTTTCTGAAAATGCTGCTTTATTTTTTTATTTTATTTTATATATTTTTACATCATTTTTATTTTTTGCACAACGTATGCATTTTCATCTTGGTTATAGTCCCCATACAATTCCCATCGCCCTTGTTTTGATCCTATTCCCTTCTCGCCCCTCCCCCAGAGTGTGTCTCTGGTTTATAGTTGCTTGTTGACTTTGATTTTTACTTTATTATTATTAGTTTTTTTCCTGGTCCCTTATTTAGGTTTTCTAAATTCCTGCTATGAGTGAGACCATCTGCTATTTTTCTTTTTCTTTCTGGCTTATTTCGCTGAGCATGATCCCTTCCAGCTCCATTCAGGTGGAAGAATTTTGAATGGAAGAAAAATAACTTTTTTTTTGTCTTTAATTACACTCCCATTTATGTGGTCTGGATGGTTCTCAGATGTCATTTGCATCCACGGCAAATATAATTATCTATAAGTTGTACAAGTCCAAGAGCTACATCTCTGACCATCTTGGCCTTTTCAGTGTTTTGCCCTGTCCTGGGGTGGTGGTAGCTGTGGAGAAGGGATAAGAGGCCAACAGGATAAAGTGGTTGGTAGGAGCGAGGTCCCTAGTTCTACAGACCTTCTGAGGAATAGTATCTTCAACACTGAGTCAAAAAGAAAGTATGGAGAGCAGGGTTCCAGAGGGTTCTCGTCACCTTAGCCATCACTAAGGACGTGGAAGGCACATGGCCTGCTGGGCTCACAGAGCACAGTTTTCACCGAATGTCAAACCAGCCTCTTCTTCAGCTTCCCTCTTCCTGCTTCTCCCTGTTCCCCCAGTTTCAGACTCTGGTCTCTAATCTGGGACCTGCTTCTTCCTCACTTCCTCCTGCAGAAAGAATTATTTTCTTTTTTCCAATTGGAATATCATTCAGATATCAGAAAATTCACCATATCAATCATTTTAAAGTGTATGATTCAGTGATTTTTAGAATATTCAAAATGTTGTTCAATCATCACCATTATCTAATTTCAGAACATTTTTGCTTTGATCTTTTAAACCTGGAAGATGAACGGAGAGGGCTGAACCTTATCAAAATAAACAGAAGTTTCCAGTGTACCGGAGCCATTCATGGTTTGGTAAGCAATTTCCCTCATTTTGCATTTTCTATTTTTGAGCTTTTTCAAGAGTGGTGAATTGTCTGAAAGGCGGTACTTTATTCAGTTTTTATTTATTCATTAGTTCCTATTCATTCATTCAGCATGTTCAGAATCTCTTCTAGACCACTAAGTACAGATGGTGAGTTAGTCCCAGAGGTGACTAAGCAAACACGGTCCCTGTCCTCAGGTTTGTTGTCCATCAGGGACAATGCTAGCAATCAAGTTATTACTAGTGTGATGAGTAATTAGGGGTAACTAGTAGGAAGACAACCAGGGCTGGGAGTCAGGCGTAATTTTTCTGAGACGGTATAAAGGGTGAGACTTGGGAGGCTGAGAAGGATTAGCTAGTGGGCAGAAAGTCCAGGTGTGAGTGTAAGTGTGCCAGGGAGAGGGATATGTAGATGTGGACAGAGCAGAGGAAGCAGCATGGTGGGGAGAAGCCTTGGGCAGGAAGGAGAAGGATGGCCACGGGGCCCTCATTCTCCAGAGTGGCAAGATGATGCTAAGTGGAGGAGGGAGGAAGAGGTAGGCCATGTTGACAATTTGGGATCTTATTTTCAAAATGGGAACCCACTGAAGGTATAACTGTGGAGATGACAGGAGCCACCCACCATATGGAGACCAGCTGGGAGGCCATTATGGGTTGAGATTAAGGGTGGCTGCTTGCATTTAGCATCCCAGTCATGAGGATGGAGAGAAGGGAAGACAGTTAAGTGGTATTTTGGAGGTGGAATAGTAAGGGAAGGAGAGGGAGGGAGGTGATAAGAGAACCCTGGTAGGAAAAAGTTTAGAAGGAAAGCTCATGGGTTCAGGTTAGGGTGAGTTGAATTCGAGGTGCCTTCGAATCATCCACATGGAAGTGTCAATAGTTTGGGGTTTGGGATGTCTGGCAGCTCAGAGGACAGGCCAGGGCCAGAGACAGGAACTTAGGAGAGGGGGAAAGTAAGCGTGAAATCACCTTTCACATGTAGATATTATTACAGCATCTGAAGCACTTTATTTACCTTTCTCCCTACCTCAGTGATTCTCAATATTGTTCTCAGTGCTCTCCCCAGGAATGGCTCTCACTGTGTTCAATGTCCCCTATTCTGTCAATGTCCCCTATTCTGAGGGTTGAAAGGTGTGGTGGCTTAATCCTTGTATCCCCAGTGTCCAGGACACATTTTGGACTCATTAGTTTTCTGATTGATGCCTGGCCAGTAGAACATAAGAAACTATGATCGTGTGGAAATCCACAAAAGAAGCACCAGTCAGAGGTAGTGAGTGGTTGACATCAATTTTTAATTTCATAGGACCCATTAGCGTAGCTAAAATAATCTTTATTTCTTAAAAAAAGTATAAATTGACACAGGAAAGTGAAACAAAGGCAGTTTAAAAGTACAGAACAAAGCCTTTACATGGAGTATCAGAAAATTTCAGTAAAGCATCACCCTCATCAGCTCAAGAAGTGTCCTCTATGGACACTGCCTCAAAGGAGAATGATCACTAGCTGTCACATGAAACAGAAGAGCATGGATCAGCTCAAGAAGCTGATCCTTTTACCCTTTCCCCCCACTTCCAAAAAGTTTGAGAAACTCAGTCTTTGCATTTCAGGCAGTACGATTTACATCTTTGATCTCTTCAATGTAGAGTTGATGTCTAGGGGTCATCCTCTGATAATATGGCCACGGGAAGGAGGAGAACAGGCTCCTCTGCCAGGAGTCTTTCTCTAGGTGGTTTGTGACATTCACTCTCTGGAAAGCTTCAGTGGGCCCAGCACACAGCTCAGATTATGGTCACCACCCTCTCTAAAAACAACAGAAGTAAGACTTGCTCGCGTCTTTATAACCAAGTGCATAGGATGGAGAAAGTAGAGTCTGAACACTCACGGAGAAGTCATGGAACCAATAGGGTGAATGTTTCTCAGTTGCTACTTTGGGTGCATATAGTTATGTGTCAGTTACAAGGGTAGAAAGCAGTTTTAACATTATTAAGCTCAATTTGTCAAGAAAGGAGTAAACCAACAAATTCTTTCTGTACATGTCAGTGATAAGAAGCAGATATTAGCCTGTAGTTGGAAGAGAGAAGACCATAGTCCCACAGAGGAAATCCAATTTGAGAAATGAGTGAATGACTCTAAAATAAGCCACACTAAGAGCAAAAACATGGACCCAAAGGAGAGGAAAATTATAGAAGAGGGAAGGCAGAAGTGAGGAAATGTTAGAAAGATGATGATCTTGGCTCAAAACTAAGTGAAACATCAATACTTTCCTAAAAAAGAAAAGCAGGGGACCTTAGCTATTAATGTTGTGTTTAAGAGAACATATTTTCATGTGCTATATATTACAAAGGAAGAGGTAAGTCTGGTGTTCCTGGCCAATATCTGCTATAACCAGGGGAGACTAATCCCTTTGCCTTTTTACATGATAGCTGCTGTTTCCCAGATGTTAAAACTGGAACAAATTTCCACACATGGTTAACCCTAAATCTACAGGGGGTTAGAGTGTTTAGAAATAATTCTGAGAGTATGGACTTGTTATTAGAGTTGATGTTTGATAGAGAGCTGAATGATGTGATGCCGGAATGGGCATCTTGAGGGAACTGAAATCTTCACATTATTCTCATTCAAATAAAAACGAACCTCCTCCTGCTTATATCGGGCAAGTGACAAAATAATTGCTCTCTTCTTATCTCTTAGTGGGCTAGTTATTAGGGCTCTAACATGCAGCCAATAATTAATAGATTTGTTCTGAGCTGGTCTTAGGACAGCTGCCAGACCAGAAAGGATGTGTGCATTAATTATATATTCCAGCAGAGGGCAGCACTACATAAAAATTGCTACTAAGGGAAAAAACGAAGTGCAGCACGTTTTGTCTAGTTTCAAGAATTTTTTGTTATTGAATCATTATTATTTAGTGTCACACAAATAGGTGACTTGTTCATACAAATTATCTTGACTGTTAATGGGAAATCCTGCCAAACATTTTAAGGTCCAACACTTTAAGCTCCTAACAATTTAAGCACTTCCTAAGGTATATGCCAATAGATACAGATGTTAGTATCTGCAAATGATGGTAGTCAAAATAAAACACCATTTTTATCAAATTCCCTATTAAAAGAAAATCTCTTTCACCCTGGCCATACCCCAGGGGCATTTCCACCACTTCCCCCATGCAATTATGGTGTGAATATCAAACGTTTGCAGCCAGTGGTAAAAATAATTAGTAATCAAGACTTTGGAAATAATGACAAATAGAGAGATGAGTAAGGTCCTGTGGTCACAGTGTTCCTGTAATTCCTGAATTTAAAGATACAGGTACACAGTCAGCCCTGCCCAGGTCTGATCCACCTGAATTCTGTGTCTTAACATTTTAAGCTTAATCAAAGCTAAGCTCAGTAGCCATGTCTAAGATGTGTATGATAAATTCAACTTAAAGTCAGCTTTGAGATTTGAATTTTGAGTTTGGAATTTTGGAAATGTGTCCCACAGAAGCAGTGCTAATAGGGACCAGTGCTCTTAAGCCAGCCCATGAACAACTTTTAATCAAGAAAATTTTGAAGGACAGAACAGACCCAGAACCTAGTCACCATGTATAGCCATGTTTCCATGTGAAAATTCTGCCACACTTTCCAGGTTTTAAATCTGGGATACTGAGAACTTATACTAAATTTTAAAAAACTTCTACATAGCTTGAGGTCCACTTTGCTGAGAACCTGGGCGATTAGGGAAGTGCACAGGGCAGCAGGGAAAGGGACAGGGTTGGGGCTGGGGGCTGGGAGTCATAGCCATACCCCCCTCCCTCAAGTGATCTTTTTCTAGCTGTTCTTCTACCCTGTCAGTCAGAGGTGGGGGGATCCTCTGTAAATATGGGCACCCTTCCTATCCTCCCTCAATGGAAATGATGGCTGGGGGTGGGGGAGCAGGTCCCACCTGTTATTTTCTTTGGACTCTGTCTGGGGGAGGTTGAGGCCTGGAGATGGGAGGACAAAGGAGTAGGCTGAGGAAAGGGAGTAGAAAGGGGTTTTCCCTTCCATCTCTTCCCTGTCCCCCCTCCCACTGACTCTGTGGTGGTCACAGAACCTTCCTGCAGGTACTGGATTGAGTTAGAATTGGAGTTGTGGGAGGGAGGAAGGGAAGTATTAACTGAAGGAGGAGAGAGAGTTCCCCAGAAGCCTGGGGAAGGAAGGGACTTTCTGGTGGCAGCTGGACAGGCAGAAGTTAGCAGGACATTGGTCAGTGGGGGACCCACTCCTTGTATCCCAAGGGGGTGGCATGGTACCAGGACGACCATGGGACTGCGGGCATCTGCTACCACACAACGCGAAATAACCACAACCTTTCTAGTTCCATTTCCCTAAAACGTTAATAATGAATGCCAAGATGCATGGCTACTTTCCCGCAGTAAATTGGGGGCTAACAAATGAGACCATGTTACGTGGGGCATAATGAGAACATAGTATGTAAAATCAAATTCCTCAAAGACTAGAATCCCCATCCGAGTTCTGTACAGTCCTGGGACAGGGCTGACAATAAATAAATAGCAAGCACCTCATTGGATATCAATTAGCAAAAGAATCTGTTTTTAAAAATCTCTACATTTTATTACTGGCTGTTATTTAAAATACATCTTGTGATAAATCTGACAGTTATCTGATAAATTTGACAAGAGAAGATGAACTGGGTGTGATTAACATGGAATCAGAAGGGATGAATACGTCTTCATACATGATTTTGCTAAAATCATACATGATTTAAAGCTTATATTTGATGATGAAGTTGACTTTATATATTAGCAAACTAAAAAAAAAACCAACTGCTGTAATCGTTAGTGAGGGTAAAATGGTGGTGATTTAGAAATTAACTTTCTTTTCAGTTAATCCTCATTTTCCTTTTATGCCAATCACGTTATTCATCATTTTTGCTTATTTTAATCAGGAACTTACACAGAATGAGTATTTTGATTTTCTACAACCAGAGCCAAAATGAATGCTGTGATTTAATTTTCTACAGCCATAGCCAAAACCAAATAGCACTTTTATGAAACTGTTGAACGTAGCCTTTGCCTTCTCTCACCTTTTTCCCAGAAAGCCTAGAAAGTCTGATCTCTTCAATAGCTACTTCTCCATACTTTCCCTCTCTGAGTCCGATTATTTATTAGGTTTAAAATCCTTTAAAAATTGGATTTTAATACAGCTCTTTTTTCCCTGCAGTAAAGATTCCTCCTTGGCTCAACTGCTGTGTAGTGTTAATGGGCCTGGTTAAGCCAGGAGAGCAGGTGCCAGAGGTGGTACATTTCACCTATGAGTCAGGTGATCTTTGTTTCTTTCGTAACTGAGTTTCATATCATGGATGAAACACTCAGACTTCTATAAAAGACATAAAAGTCAGTATTTTAATTTTCAAAAGTCTTGGGTAACCAAAGGGCAGTGTAAGTACTCAAATACTTTCCCCATGGTGCTTATTATTACCCTACTAATTCTTAACTCTGTCTTTCCAAGGCCATTTTTGTATTTCTTTCAAAGACACTTGAGCAAATGTCATTTTGATAGTGCACAGGTAATAAGGTATTTGAATAAAAAAGATGGCACGTATGTTCTGAAGGGTGTCACACATAATACCAATATTCCATTAATTCACCTAAGTACTTTATAACAACAACAAATAACAATCAGAACAAGCAGGCAACACCTCTTTGTTGTTTTCTTCTAAGCTTAAGAATGTTGTTGATCATGAAGGATCTCATGGATGATGGTTGTTTGGGTCCATCAACAATCTTGGCTCCTATGTCAACCTTCAGCAGTATTTAAGGGAGAGGGTAATTTTATTGACACTACGGCATGAATCCACTCTGATTGTAGGTTTTGGTGTTGGTCTTTATGAGCCCACAAAATATTTTCCCCAATTCTAGAATCAAATATTAAATTAAAACAGATGTGCAAAAGCAAACAAATGAAAATCTACCCCCAAAACTTAGCCTACTCCTCCACAAAACCACCAGTTTTGGGAAAAACCACTAATCCATATTTTTATCCTAAACGCTTAAAAAAGAACAAATTCACATTTCTCCTTAACCCGAGGTTGTTTCAATGTTCAAAGAAGTCAACTGGCAGGAGAAGTGCTCTAGAAGTTCCTGGGGTAGTCTCCAAGCGCTCTCTTGGGCCACTCCTCATCCACCCACCTGCGCAGAACTTTCTCCACATCAGCCCTGTGATAGTGCCGGCAGAGCTCCATCAGTTGGCTCACTGTCCTCTGACTGTTTCGGAGCAAGAACTCCAAGGTGGGGCTCTGGGGCCTCTGCTCCAGGAAACACAGTTCATCGTAGGGCATGCCCCATTTGCTTGCAAAATTACGCCAGTTTTTGACTGTTGGGTGACATGGATCCAACTTTATCCTGATCACATCCAATAAGTCTTGATCATTGAGCAAGTCACTTATGGTGGGGGCGCGGAGTGAGCAGGAGGAGCAGGTGCAGTTCTCCTTACAGGAGTTGTCATTGCTTACATCTGCAGGAACAAACAATACAGTCCACATATCAGCAGGCGGTCTAAGAGAAGCGATCATCTCCTCTATCCTTTATTTTTCCATGAAATTGTGAATGGCATCAGTGTAAGTACAGAACAGTGTGTCTTAAAGAGCAATAATTTAGGCTACTCATTTCTTTATGTCCACATAACAGTGTATTATTCCTTACAGCCAAGGATGGTTTGCTTTGCTGGAAGCAACAGTTAGATTTTATAAGGCTGGTTTCTCTTTCTTTTCAAGACTCTCTGTGTCTTACAATGTGCATTTGTGAGATGAGGACCTTGAGGAGCAGAGACATCTGGGGCAGATCACCTGTCCGCTGGGGTCAGACTCTGCTGTCTCAAGAACAAACCAGCCCATACTTGCCCACACTCCAATCCTATTCCTTCTGAGTTATGAGTCAGCTCTGATAGCTTTTTAATGCCAAACACAGCATGTTAGAGTATAAGGGATTGCACAATTCTTTAAAGGTATTTTTTAAAAGTCCAAAACACAAAAACTGGAATATCCACTCCACATACATATTTGAAAATGAGTGATCATTGATAATACCAGCAAATTTATTTTTAAAATTTATGGTCACCTTATCATCCTTTGCCTTTATCTGTGTTTTCTTCACCCATGGGGCTGCCTTTGAAGTGGAGCCAACACCCTGAGGTGTGTGCAGTGGGTTGGAGGAGGAGGCTTTTGAGCTGAGGCTCACCAAAGAGAGCCCCAGCTTGGAGGAAGGGCAACATTCCTTACTCAGTCATCTTTAGCCTTATTGTAGGCTAGGAATAGTGTTAGTAGGAGGATGAAGTTAGTAGGCAAGAGGTGTTGGCAAGTCATTTATAATAAAGCTGTAAGCAGTGTCTACACAACATGGCAATGTGAGCAACTCAAATTCTGCAAGAGCACTGGCTCTCCTGACATCTCTGACCAGTGATTTGAACAGCCAAATGCTATGACTTGGAAATTTCTGGAAGATTATGACGACCTTTATACCATACTAAGCTGTTAATTTCCCAATTTATGAAAGTAAAGAATTTGAGAAAAAGGGAGTCACTTAGGTGATTTTAAGGTTGAGACCCAGCACTTTAAGATATAGCAAGAGGGCCTACCTGGTGGCCTAGGGGTTAAGTCTAAGCGCTATCACCATAATGGCCTGAGTGCGATCCCCGGCCAGGGAGCTACCCCACATATGGTGCAGCAAACCTCTCCTGTCATGCCCACTGCTCCTCTTAGCAGTGTATTTCAGTAAAAATCTGCCTATTCTGCTCTCTGGTGAATCCTTTTACTCCCCACACCTGTGGCCTACACCCTAGTTCTACACACACACACACACAGCCATAAAAACAATGTTTATTATATTCTTTGACTTACTAATATTACAATCAGGAATCCAATCTAAAGAGATAATCTAAAATATATGATTTTTTTTATTCCAGTCTTATTTATATTATCCATTTTTAAAACAAATTGAATGGCAAAGTTAGGGGACTAGTGAAATAAATGATTGCTACTACTTGATGGAATATTATTTCATTGATTATGAAAACTTGTAGTAGCTGCCTAGAAAAGGCTTATGCTATAATAGTAAATGAAAAATTCAAGGTGTAAAGAATGTATGTACTCTGTTATTAGAACTATGTGCTAATATTACTGTGGAAAATATACAAAAATAATGATAAATATTGTTAAGATGATAGGATTATGTTTCCATTTTCCAAGTTTTCTCTGTGGTTTTATAGTTCTGTGATAACTAAAACAATACATTTTTTAAAAAGATCTATTCCATCTATGCATACAAGAACTGGGGCACACGCCAGAGGTGCGGGATTCACCAGTGACAGAGTGGGGAACAGAACAGGCAGACTGAAATACACTGCTGAGGGGAGCAGCAGGCAAGTCAGGAGAGGTCTACTGTGCCATGTGGGTCAGCGACGTGGCGGGGGATTGAACTCGTGCTGCAGAGGCTGCAGATAGCTTCATAGGTTGTGTCTTAACCCCTTGCACCACCAGGGAGGCCCAACAATTGCTACATTGACAAATACACTGTTTACCTTACCACAGAGAGGACACCAGTGGGGCATGTCTCCTCTCTGCCATGCTTTATGACATCTAGAGTCTACTCCTTCCCACCTTCTCTGCAATTTTCATCAAATACCTCCTTTCTTTCCCCTCATTGTCCAGCCACCCATCTCAACTGATCACTTTCCTTTACCTACTATTATGGGTAGGACTCAACTCCTCTATCATAAAAAATAAGAACCTCAAACCAGTCTCCTCTGGTTTCATAACTTTATGAAGCCACTTTCCCTTATTCTTTTTTTACTTACTGTTAAACTTCCAGAAGCAGAATTCAAAACCTATTGGCTCGCATGCCTCACCATATTAATCTTCATCTTCTATGGCTTCAAGCAGCACCTGACCCAGTCTAATTCCTGCCATACCTTTCAGACACTGGATCCAATTTCCTGCACCCCAACCACTGTCCAGAGCCCAGTTCTGACTGGGCAGGAAAATCCGGAACAGAGAAGCAGATTTCCACCTGACTGAGGATCACCTGGCCCTCGTACTGCTGCTAGTACGAGACACTCCAGCTCCCCCAGAATATGGCTACTAATGGAACCAGGCCCCCAAATCTTTTGCCCCATGGACACTGTATATTGAGCAGTGTCCTCTTGGGGGGGTCCCCTTGGACAGCCAAGCCCCATATCCTGAGGCTTATCCCACCCTATCTTGGTGAACTTCTCTCTTTTGTCTTCCTGACTTGCCCACATTCCAGCCTGTCTAACAGCCTAGTCCTTGGGAATTACTAGAAGGTACTGTAATTCTTTCTTTTTTTTAAAAAAAGATTTATTTATTTTTATACAAGAACTGGGGTATAGGCCAGATGCGTGGGAGGGTGAGAGGATTCACCAGAGACAGAGCGGGTAACAGAACAGGCAGACCGACGAAATACATTGCTGAGGGGAGCAGCAGGCAAGACAGGAGAGGATTCCCGCGCCATGTGGGACCTGCGCCAGCCGGCTGGGATTGAAGTGGCACTGCAGAGGCTGCGGACAGCTTCACAGTGCGGTGCTCGACTGCCTGCACCCCCAGGGAGGCCCTGTAATCCATTCTTATCCCTAAGTTCTCTTCCATTTTTACTTCCTTTGGTCATTTCCTCCCTTTGCCACAGCTTATACAAAATTCTACTAAAGTGAAAGTTCCTTTTTCTTGCATCTGCAAGATCCAGCCTTTGGCATATAGTAAATGCTTAGCCAACGCTTATCAGATGAGTGCATGAATACATGAGTAGACGAATGAATGGTTGGCTCTGCGTACTTGCCTGGACTCCAAAACAGACTACAAGAAAGCTCCTCTCAATGTCCAGACTTCAATTCTAACTCAATGGACCTATAACATCCCCTATACTTAACATCTCCTAACCCCCCAAAACATCCCCAGTCCTCTACACTTACTTACAGTGCCTAGGCGTTCTTAAAGTCTTTTTCACTGTGTCCCTTCCAGGTGTTACCGCATCCCACCTGCCCTGGAAGCTCTTCTCGATACTCTTTTATTTTTTTTTATAAAGATTTATTGACTTATGCATACAAGAATTGAGGTGTAGGCCAGAGGTGCAGGGGGTGAGAGGATTCACCAGAGACAGAGTGGGGAGCAGAACAGGCAGACTGACTGAAATACAGTGCTGAGAGGAGCAGCAGGTGAGACAGGAGAGGTCTGCTGTGCCATGTGGGTTGCTCCCTGGCCAGCCAGGGATCGAATTTGTGCTGTAGTAGTTGGCAATAGCTTGATAGCGCTGTCTTTAACTCCTGTGCCACCAGAGATGTCCTCTCCTTGCTACTCTGCCTCTTTTATTTCCCACGACTTTATTATTAAATTTTATTTTATTTATTTATTTTTTAATACAAGAACTGGGGTACAGGTCAGAGGTGTGGGAGGGTGAGAGAATTCACCAGAGACGGAGCAGAGAGCAGAACAGGAAGACGGACCTAAGACAGTGGGCAAGGCAGCGGGCAAGGCAGGAGAGGTCTGCTGCGCCATGTGAGTTTCTCCCTGGCCAGCCAGGAATCGAACCCTCACTGCACAGGCTGTGGACGGCTTCACAGTGTGGCGCTCAACCCCCTGCGCCACCAGGGAGGCCCTCCCATGACTTTCTTAACAAAACTTATGCTCCAGACAAGTTGGACTACTCCATCCCTGAAGAGACAATGTGTAACTTTATTTTTTTCTATTTCTATATATAGCTTAAGTAACTTAAAAAAAAAACTAATATAAGTTTAGTGTACACAATGTAGAAATTATGTATATGGTTTATGGATTTTGTATAAATGATTGAACACAGGGTGTTCCCAAATTTTTGTGATTATGACTAACAATCGATGCAGACCCTTGCATATGGCTTTTTGGCCATGTCTTTAATCATCACACAGTAATGGGATCATCAGCCTAAAATGTGAGCATCCTAAGGCCATCAATGCAGGTGCCCCAAATTATTTTCCAGACTCAAAGGCTGTACCAGTTTACACCCCAACCGGGGTAAAGTGATGGTACAGATCTCACTTCACCTTTGTGAGCACCAAGTATTAGTTTTAAAAAGTCTCCTCAGGGGCCTCCCCGGTGGCGCAGAGGTTGAGCGCAGGGTTGCGAAGCTGCCAGCAGCTTCTGCACCGCTGGTTCGATCCCCAGCTGCTCCCCGGCCACCGGAGAAGGGTCCCACATGGTGCACAGACCTCTCCTGCCGCCCGCTGCTCCCCTCAGCAGTGTATTTCATCAGTCTGCCTGTTCTGTTCCCCGCTCTGTCTCTGGTGAATCCTCTCACCCTCCCACAATCTGTCCTGTACCCTGGTTCTTGTGTAAAATGAATAAATAAATCTTTAAAAAAAAAAAAGTCTCTTCAATTTCATGGTTGGAAAAAGTATACCTTCTATTTCTCCACCACCAAGGCTTTTCCGGTGTTTTCTCTTTGATCACTTTCCTGTCCTCTTTCCCTCTC